GTGTGTGTGTGTGTGTGTGTGTGTGTGTGTGTGTGTGTGTGTGTGTGAAGAGCTGCATGTGCATATGGAGATCAGAAGACAACCTCTTCTGTGGACTCTCAGGTCCCATCCACTTTGTGCTTTAGCTTTAGCTTTAGCTTGCTTTAGCTTTAGCTTGCTTTAGCTTTATCTTGCCTGAAATTTGCTGATTCTGTTAGGCTGCCTGGAAAGTGAGCCCCAGGGAGTCACCTGTTTAGTCTTTTAGAGCACCAGTGTTGTGAGCACCTTTTCTACACATGCATCTTTCACATGTGTGCTGGAGATCTGAACTCAGGTCCTCATGCCTGTGCAGGACTATACAGACTGTACCATCTCTGCAGCCCACATAGCTCAGCAGATGAAGATTTAAGTATTTTTCCTTGCCTTCAACATATTATAATACTTACAGAGTTGGTTGGTAGTCAAAATAAAATATAACTTTTGATTCTTACTCATGCCCAGAAACATAATTCAAAAAAGAACCAACTTTATTCTTAAAATAAACTTGTCTTCTTGAGGACTTCAGTAGTAAGCATGTAACTTGTTAGTATTCTATTATCATTCTGAAACACATTTTGTTTTTGTACTTATTACTGGGCCAAAACAAAACAGTATTTGTTTACTTTTTTACAAAAGTATGTGCAGGTTAAATGTTCGTTCAGTGGGTCAAGATATTTGTCACCAAACAATACCACCAGAGCTACATCCTGGGGCCCCATATGAGAGAAGAAGAGAACCAAGTCCCATAACTTACCCCTGATTTCTACATGGATGCCATGGCATATTCATGTTCACCCATAAACACACACATACATAGGCAGGTACATACAAAAATGCACACACACATATGTAGACACACATAGAATAAAAACAAAGAAAAAAGCAAATAAGTGTGCATTCAGGATAATTGAATTTTTGCAAATTTACTTCATGTATTTAGAAAAAAATACCAATTCTTTAAAAAAAAATCTCCCCCTTTATATTTTAAGATAAAATTCTCAAATGCCAAAACAGAGATGTTAATAAAGGGGAAAATAACCTCCATTTTACTTGTTTAGTATTTATTTAATGGTATTCTTGCTCCTTCTCATTCATGATAGATCAGTGCTCTTCCTCTGAGTTGTACTATTGTCTTCAACACTTTCCAGTTTTCTCTAATTGGCTATGTAGCAAATACTGAACATTTATGCCCCATAGTTTTCTTCTGCAAATAAGACATTGTTTTTTGTTTATTTGTTTGTTTCATTTTGATTTTGTTTTGTTTTTTTTACAGGTGTTTCAAAATTGCAGCTGCATTCAGTCTTCAGGAAACTCATCTGCAGTCCTCGGGCTGTGCAAGAAAGGCCCTGATTGTACTATAAAGCTGCATTACTTTTTCATCATGGTAGTAATTTGCAGTTTTATCTACTCACTAGCAGCTCTACCTGGGTATATGGTTCTTCTGAGGTAATTAGTAACTTGTTCATTTATCTTTGTTTCTCGTCCTCATAGCATTGTGTGCTTACATGAGTGTATGAGTGTGTGTGTGTGTGTGTGTGTGTGTGTGTGTGTGTGTGTGTGTGTGTGCGCGTGTGTGACTGGCTGCTGGGTTTCTGTGTGCCACTGAGAGCAGGGTGAGATCAAAAGACAATGTTGGGAATCAGTTCTCTCTATTTATCTTACTTCTGAGTCAGGGTCTCTTTTATTTCTACTGAATACCTGGTCTTCAAGATCTAACTAATTCTGTTTTCTCCTATTTTACTATAGGAATGCTGAATTTACAGAAGCATGTCACCGACTTAGGCTTCTGTATTTTTTTTTCTTATACATCTCTGGGTTCTGGTTGTTGAACTTAGGTCATCAAGCCTTTGTGGCAAGCACATTTACACAAAGAATACCCTACCAAAGCCATTTAGATTTTTTTTGTTCATTTATTAAAATTTGTTTTCCAAAGAAAGACCCTTGGAGTAATGGTTCCCAGAACTTCAATGTTTTGAGTTACCTTTATCAAGACTCTTAATACAAAAATAGCATTGATACATTAAGAGTAAAGTTTGCTGAAATTTTTCTTCTGGTCCTTTTCTATTTTCTCCCTTTATGTCTTGAGCCTAAATTAAGGGACATCTTGTTTTGGAGGAAGATAGTATTTACCTCCACCCATTTCCTTTGCTCAGCTAAGTGACTGGCAATATGTAAAACTCTATGTGTAAAAGTGACCAGGCTCCCTTGACATCCTGAACTCAATCTGTCTTTGTAAAAAACATAAATTCAATAATATTATCTGACCAAGAGGCACATGAATACAGTAGTAGATACTCTCTAATGAGAAGATATAAGAATATAAAAGCAGATACTCTAATCTCTAATATAAAGTGAGGAAGCTGAAAGTCAAGTTTCAAGTTATTTTCTTCTTCCACATGTTCTTACTAGTCTAGCAAACTTAATAGACACCAACAATGGGGAGACTGTAACCGTTTTCTTGTCTCAATAGAATTCAGAAGCAAAGTTGTTAAGTACAATATGTCATTCAAAATATTTTTTCCCAATAGAATGGACCAATGTTCTCAATTTCCCCTTATGGGAAACTATACTTTTCTGTTTCCTTGTCCACATTCCCTTTTCATCCCCTCCCCTCCTCCTTCTCTTCCTTTTCCAAATTCCTTTCCCATTACTTTTCCCTCACTTCGTTCCTCTTCTCTCATGATGCCTCTCCTCTCCTCTCTTCTTCATTCCTCTCCTCTGCTCTCCTGTCCTCTCCTCCTCTCTTCTGGTCTTCTCTCTTCTCCTCTTCCTTGATTTTCTCCCTTCCCCCTCTCCTCTAACTTTCCACTCTTTGATATGGTTCCTCTTATTTTTTTCAAAGTTTATTAAATTATAAAAGTTTCCATTTCCGCCCCTCCTCCCAACACCCTCCCACTCCCCCGGCTCCCTCTCCTCATCCCTCTCCATCCCTAAGAGCAGTCAGGGTTTCCTGCCCTGTGGGAAGTTCAAGTTCCTCCCCCCTCCCTCCAGGTCCAGGAAGGTGAGTATCCAAACAGACTGGATCCCAAAAATCCAGTATATGCAGAGGAAACAAGTCCCAGAGTCATTGTCAATGGCTTTTCAGAAAGACCCCACGCCAGCCACATTCAGAGAATATGGCCACATTCAGAGAATCTGGCTGGATCACGTGCTCGTTCAGTCCCAGTCCTACTGGCCTTGGTGAACTCTCATTAGATCAGTCCCCTTGTATCAGTGGGTGATCGCACCCCTCGCGTTCCTGATTTCCTTTTTCATGTTCTTCCTCCTTCTACTCCTCATTTGGACCTTGGGGGGCTCAGTCCGGTGCTCCAATGTGGGTCTCTGTCTGTATCGCCATCCATCGTCGGATGAAGGTTCCCTCTGGTCTTGCCTTCTTTGCTTACTTTCTCTTTCCTTCTGCTTCTCGTTTGGACCTAGGGAGTTAAGTCCAGTGTTCCAATGTGGGTCTCTGTCTCTATCTCTATCCATCACCAGATGAAGGTTCTATGGTGATAAGCAAAATATTCATCAGTATGGTTATGGGCCAAGGCCGGTTCAGGCACCCTCTCCTCTGTCCAGAGAACAATCTGGGGATCTCTTCTTGGACCTGGGATCCCATTTATAATCAAGTCACTTGTAAACCCTAAAATGACTCCCTTAGTTGAGATATATTCTTCCCTGATCTCATATCCATCCTTCCTCCCTCCCCCCCCATCCCAGTCCCCCGAGCTTTCCCCATTCCTCCCCTACTTCCTTCTCTCTAACCCTCTCCCCTTTCATCAACCCTCCCCCACCATGCACCCGAGGTTACCTGGGACTCTTGTTTATTTCCAATCTCCAGGAGGATAACTACATGATTTTCTTCAGGTTCACCTTCTTATTTAGCTTCTCTAGGATCACGAATAATAGGCTCAAAGACCTTTAATTATGGTTAGAATCCACTTATGAGCGAATACATACCATATTCCTCTTTTTGGGTCTGGCTTACCTCACTCAGTAAAGCGTTTTCTATGTCCATCCATTTGCATGCAAAATTCAAGATGTCATTGTTTTTTACCGCTGAGTAAAACTCTAATGTATATATGTTCCATACCTTCTTTAACCATTCTTCTATTGAGGGGCACCTAGATTGTTTTCAGGTTCTGGCTATTACAAATAGTGCTGCTATGAACATAGTTGAACAAATGCTTTTGTGGTATGATAGGGCATCTCTTGGGTATATTCCCAAGAGTGGAATTGCTGAGTCTTGAGGGAGGTTGACTCCCAGTTTCCTGAGAAACCGCCACACTGATTTCCACAGTGGCTGCACAAGTTTGCATTCCCACCAACAATGGATGAGAGTTCCCCTCTCTCCACATCCTCTCCATCATAAGCTATCATTGGTGTTTTTGACTTTAGCTAATCTGACCAGTGTAAAATGGTATCTCATAGTTGTTTTGATTTGCATTTCCCTGATCGCTAAGGATGTTGAGCATGACCTTAAGTGTCTTTTGGCCATTCGAAGTTCTTCTGTTGAGAATTCTCTGTTCAGATCAGCACCCCATTTTTTAATTGGGTTAATTAGAGTTTTAGTGTCTAGTTTCTTGAGTTCTTTGTATATTTTGGAGATCAGGCCTTTATCTGATGAGGGGTTGGTGAAGATCTTCTCCCAGTCAAAAGGTAGCCTTTTTGTCTTACTGATGGTGTCCTTTGCTTTACAGAAGCCTCTCAGTTTCAGGAGGTCCCATATATTCATTGATTCTCTTATTGTCTGTGCTACTGGGGTTCTACCTAGGAAGTGGTCTCCTGTGCCTTGTAGGACACATCTTGTAGACACTTCCCACTTTCTCTTCTATCTGGTTCAAAGTGGTCAGATTAATGTTGAGGTCTTTAATCCATTTGGACTTGATTTTTGTGCATGTTGATAGATATGAATCTACTTTCATTCTTCTACAGGTTGACATCCAGTTATGCCAGCACGATTTTTTAAAGATGCTTTCCTTCTTCCATTGCATACCTTTAGCCCCCTTGTCGAAAATCAAGTGTTCATAGGTTTGTGGGTTAATATCCGGGTCTTCTATTCAATTCCATAGGTCGACTTCTCTGTTCTTATGCCAGTACCAAGCTGTTTTCAATACTGTAGCTCTGTAATACAGTTTGAAGTCAGGGATGGTTATACCTCCAGAAGTTCCTTTGTTATATAAGATTGTTTTGGCTATCCTGGGTTTTTTGTTTTTCCATATAAAATTAATTATTATTCTCTCAAGGTCTGTGAAGAAGTTTGATGGGATTTTGATGGGGATTGCATTGACTCTATAGATTGCTTTTGGTAGAACTGCCATTTTTTACTATGTTGATCCTCCCAATCCAAGAGCAAGGGAGATCTTTCCATTTTCTGGTATCCTCCTCAATTTCTTCCTTCAAAGACTTAAAGTTCTTGTCAAATAGGTCTTTCACTTCCTTGGTCAGAGTTATCCCAAGATATTTTATGCTATTTGTGGCTATCGTGAAAGGTGAAGTTTCTCTGATTTCCCCCCTGCTTCTTTATCCTTTGTGTATAGGAGGGCAACTGATTTTTTTGGAGTTGATCTTGTATCCTACCACGTTACTAAAGGTGTTTATCAGCTGTAGGAGTTCTTTGGTAGAGTTTTTGGGGTCGCTCATGTACACTATCATATCGTCTGCAAATAACGAGAGTTTAACTTCTTCCTTTTACAATTCGAATCCCCTTCATCCCCTTATGTTGTCATATTGCTATTGCTAGAACTTCTAGCACTATATTGAAGAGGTATGGGGAGAGTGGACAGCCTTGTCTTGTTCCTGATTTCAATTGAATGGCTTTGAGTTTCTCTCCGTTCAGTTTGATGTTAGCTGTCGTCTTGCTGTAAATAGCTTTTAATATATTTAGGTGTGGTCCTTGTATCCCCAATCTCTTCAACACCTTTATCATAAAGGGATGTTGGATTTTGTCAAATGCTTTTTCAGCATCTAATGAGATGATCATATGGTTTTTTCTTTCAGTTTATTTATATGATGATTACACTGATAGATTTGCATATGTTGAACCAGCCCTGCATCTCTAGAATGAAGCCTACTTGATCATAATGGATAATTTTTCTAATGTGTTCTTGGAATCGGTTTGCCAGGATTTTGTTGAGAATTTTTGGTCAATGTTCATGAGTGAGATTGGCCTGTAATTCTCTTTCTTGGTTGTGTCTTTATGTGGTTTTGGTATCAGGGTACCTGTAGCTTCATAAAAAGAGTTTGGCAATGACTCTTCTGTTTCTATATTGTAGAATACATTAAGGAGTATAGGTATCAGCTCTTCTTGGAAGTTCTGGTAGAATACTGCATTGAAACCATCTGGCCCTGGGCTGTTTTTGGTTGGGAGGTTTTTGATAACAGCTTCTAATTCTTTGCGACTAACAGGTCTATTTAGACTGTTCACCTTGTCTTGATTTAACTTTGGTAAATGGTATTTATCTAAA